CATGCGAGGAAAGGATCACTTGTCTCACTGATTGAGGTCAGCACGACAACAGATGCAGGGGCATGCCCAAACTGCGAAAGCAAGATCGCAAGCTCAGCTTCCCAGGCCCGCCGCTTTGCACGCACACACACCCACGCGCCCTGCGCGGGCGCACGCGGGCAACCAGTGCACAAAGGGACCAGCTTTCGAGGCGCTTGAAACAAGACTCCAATCACACTGGAGCTGCTCGCGTTCATCAACCAGAGCTGTCGCATGGAACACGATGCCACTTCCAAAAGTATTTGCCATTTCAGAGTTACTCTTACCTCGCAGTCCCAGGCCAGCCGCTCCACCCTGGCTTCGTGCCATGGTCGACCGTGCCTCCTCCTGCGAGCCTCAGGTGCTTGTGGCCCAGCAGCCACCGTCTGGATGCACAATCAGGAACTAGATTTAGGCCTTCTGCAGGGAGTTGTGGTTTTAGAGAAGCACAGGGTTTTGAGCACAGGGCTCACCATGAACCAGTTTGCTGTCATCAAGTCGAGATCACGGTGATGAGTGCATCCTCAACAAGAGCTCAGGCCCTCGGAGTCCACGGAGTACCCAGAAATGTCTGGCCGCAAGAATCTTGTGAAATTTTAGCTGACCTGCCCAACCAAGTGAAGGTTAACGTGCTTTTCCGACCCTGAAAGAAAGAATTTCTGTCCCAGGCCTGGGTCTTCAGCCACAGGTCTTTCTGCATTCGCTGTAGAGCAGCTCTGCGCTTAGCAGCGTCAGCGTGCACTGCTGGAGCAGGTGTGCACTAGCCGAGATGGTTGCAAGTTGCAAGTCTACCTACGTAGCTTTCTCTGAAACAGCGCAGTTCATAGGAGTTATTCGGCAGAGACCATATTCGACAACTTGTTTGAACTTTGTCCCGTGTTGCAAATCCTGAACATCAGCCTCATTTGTGTTCATCCTAAGATCTGAGGTCGCCCAACTTGCCAGAGAGTGCGCAGAACTGAAATAGATATTAAGGGCAGTGAGTTTGCAAGGACTTTCAAAAGCAGGGCTGCAGGCTCGCTACCCGCTACCAAAGCTCGCACACTCGTTATGTGGAGGTACTCCCTCACCATGGTATCTGTGGGATCGACCACCTACAAGCGACCTGATCTTGAACCAGCGCCCACCGTGCCCTAGCAACAGATCAGACAGCAGTTTTTTTGGTGCAACCTTGGGCTTTAAAGTTTTGTGAGGCACGCTGCAGAGGTAGGAAGTTCCGGGTCATGGCTGAGGATGCCAGTAGCGCGACCCTCTTCCACAGGCAGGCCCAGTCTGCGCAGGTACAGCAGCTTGACAGAGCTGTTGCGACTCCGCTAGGCGAATCAAATTGTGCGCTGAGGGCGCAGGGACATCGATGCCACGGCTCGGAGGTGTGTTAAGCCTTGGACAAATCGAATCGCTGGTGCCGTGGCCTGGAAGGCTGTTGAAGCCCGGCTGCCTGCAATTCCTGGCGCAGCGCGGCGCCAGGCCTGCATAGCAGTTGACCACTCCGTGAATCATTGCCCATGAGCAGGACGAAGAAGCCGAGGCCAGTGGACCCTGACAACATGGCATCAGGTTTGATTGAAACCTCAGGATATGCACAGCAACTCCGGCAGTGTCGCAGAATCTTGGAATCATGTGACATTCTACTTGATGGAAAGGCGCGCCCAGCCACCACCGAGCCGGACGCAAAGCCGGCAACCCGTGGGCGTCGAGCAGGCAAAGCCACATGATGGCACATCAGAGCTTCAACCGCTAATTGCATTCGTGGCGTTGCCTTTCAAGCAAGCACCGATGGTGCACGCCTGGCAGTTTAAGACCGTCGCATCTAAAAGCAGGCCCTCTCTCAGCAGAGCGCTCTGCTCGCTGGTACCGGGCCTCATCGCCACAAGGCTCCAGCCACCCTCGTGCTAGGGGCGACAGAGACCGCATAGCGCGTTGGATGCTTTGCCACGAGCTGTTGAGGCCTCAGCCTGAACTGTTCTGGCAGCCCTGATGGATGTGACGGTGGTGCACCAGCAGGCTGGGTAGGCAAACCAGCCAAGCAGGATAGGATGAGAGAGGGATATTTCAGACTTCCTCCTGCAGAGTGCGGTATATTGTCAGCCAACAAAAGGTCAACACCAGGGTCCGGAGAGGGAGAGGGTCCCCATGCCTTGAATAATTGTGGAGGCGAGGCTAGCAAGCTGCCAGAGGCGGTGGCGCAGACTCCCGCAGGCTTGGAGCATGCAACACGAAAGAAAGCGGAAAGCGGTGCTCGAGTGGCTGTCAGGAGCCGGAAAGCCTTCAGAAGATCCTCCGCGTGATGGCAAGCTTCTCGCTGCCCTGTCTTGGTTGGAAAGACCTTTGCAATAGATGTGGCATGCCAAGGAACTGGATCGCCTCCACGTAGCGGCAGCCGACCTCCTTCCACGCCGAGGGCAGGCCCCTCGAGCTACGATTCTGTCATACTGCTCGGCATTGCTCGGCTCAGGGTTTGCTTTCGGCTTCGCAGGTTCTCGCTCCCCTGTGCGAGCCGTGGAACGACGGGCAGAGGTTGGAAAGCCACGTCAGCTCTTTTGTGGTGCATATGCTGCATTCAATCACAAGCAGGTCTCTGACTATGTGCGCCGCGCAGCATCGGCGCAAAGGCGGCTGTAAGCATTCGTTTCTCTCGCATGATGCTTTGGAGAACTGTGCGCTACTTGTAGGGTTCGAGTCCTGAGTCGCCGTATCTCCCAGGTCGCGCATGGAAGGCCCTGCGCCTACGCTGCTTGCGGCAGCCTTGCAGCAGTCAGGCGGGAAGAGATGGGAAGACTGTGGGAGCTCGTGGTTTCGAGTTTGGGAAAAATCAATTTTGCCTCGCCCCTGTTCTTCAGTTGAGTCCACTTGACAGGTTCCAAGGAAACGCCCGAGGTGCCGAGGGCCCCGCCCATCCCGGAGCTTCCCAAGGCTCGGTGAAGTTCATCGCAGTTATTCTTGGCACACCTGGCACTTCTCGTCTCCTCTCATCATGCTCATCACATCTCATCACTCTGGCAGGGCACCTCTGTGGTGCTGGCAGCAACAGCCGCGCAGCGAGAGCTCGTCATGCAGCTGAAGGGAAAGCTGAAAGGCCATCTCAATCGACAAAGCGACAAATGGCAATGGCTTTAGTAGGTTGTTGTATCATGCCAGGCAAAAGTGCAGCCGGGTGCTCGGCTAGCCAAGCAAGTCGGCTTTATAGCTCGTATAGAGTTGCCTGCTATGCTGCAGCAACTGGCTCCATGTATGCATACGCCGCAAAGTCTGCGATGGTAAGACTCCGCAAAATGGCTTTTTCTGCCACGGGTATGAGTTCCTTAGCATATCTTAGCATAGTGAGGCACAGGCAAAGCCGCGCTCGGATCCGGAGGAGGGCAGTCCTGAGCTTACTTCGATTGTGAATCTCGTGGAAGGCTTGCCATGTGTGCCTTGCTTGCTTCGAATAGAGGCCTGATTCAATATGAGGTGCCTCCGCCTGGCGCAACATCAAGCACCTGCTGGCCGCTGGGACGTTCTGCACACTTTAGCTTGGCTGTACGTCCTGATGTGATGACCTTTGTGTCCGGAACAAAGCTGCCGCTGCACTGGGAGAGCTGCAGGCTGCGAAAGCCGCGGCCGCAGACTCCACGGTCGAGGAGTTCGGTGCAGTGCTGTCAAAGGCGGCTTTGAGCACGCAGATCCCGCAGTAACAAGCCCTCCCTCAATGTTGATGTCTGTCGAGGGATGGTTCTAGCCACCCAGTCCAGCGCAAGCTGCTTCAAGAATCAACCCACACATACCCGCACACTTTCCAAGCTTTCAGCAAAGGACGCATTCTAAAGTATTGAAAGAGATTTGTGCAGGGACTGGCGGACAAGCTGGACCCAGAGCCTCGGACAAACTGGCCATGGTAGCAAATGCAGCAAGCTCTCCGCAAGCAAATGCTGATGATGTTGATTCAATTTGAAAGATCAGTGCTCTCACCCAATGTGTCTCAGGAGACAGGTGGTGGGCCTAGCTTTCCCGAGCTTAGCAAGCTGTGCCAATCAATGGTTGAGACATGTTCAGCATCCACAGCACTGACTTGGGATATGATAGCTGCAAGTGCGTACAACGTGCATGCAAGGTCGCTTTATTCCTCCCGGCAAGATGCGCGTGCAAAGAAGCTGCTTGGATTGAGGATCAGGAAGCTCATGCTCAGTCGCCTACGTGTACATGGGAATCGGTCCTGGGCAACACTCAGCGGCAGAAAGCCCGAACCCAGCAAAAAGTCCTAGCAGTCCTAGCAAAATGTTGCAGTGTCTGCAGACGTCTCCAGTTCTAGGCCGTTTCCACACTGCTCCGCCTTTGAAGCCCACTCCCCGTGGCTTGCGCGGAAGCTGAGGGAAGCATGGCACGATGTAGGCACGATGATAATGTAGGAGAAGTAGCAAATCCTTGATGCTTGAAATCCATTACATCAATGCCACAGGTTCATCCAGACAAAGGCCGAAACAGGCTTCTGTCCTGGAGAGTCCAACCCCAGACCGCACAGCCGCAAATGAACGGCTTCATGGTCTGCTTGTGCATAATACGCGAAGTCCCCTGTGCATCCACATAAGAAACACCCCATCACGAGGTTACATGCAAGGGACACAGCGTAACACCTGCACCTTCGGTGCATCCGTCTTGGCAAGGGCGGGTGTGTTAGCAGTTACAGAAATTCATCCCTAACCATCTCAACTTGTCCAACAAATTATCCTATATGAGGCAGCCAGATGGGTGAAACAGCCTGCTACAGCACTCCTGCCACTGTCAGCACGTGTTAATGCAGGCCTCTGAAATAGGAAGGCAGGTGCCGATCCGGCGAAGACGCGGCTCCAAAACAATCCGAGGGCTGCAGCAGAGAATTTGCTGCAGTTTCGAGTTTGGTGCGTAAACGTGATTAAGTGGAATAATGGGTGTTTCAGACCGTTGCTTGTGCCAAATTTTGTGTAGCCATGCTGCTTCCTGATGTTTGTGCGTGGTCCATGCGGCAGGCTGTTCGACTTGGACAGTTTGGTTCTGACAGCAGACGGTGGCTTCAAGAGGCTTGGTGCCGAGCAGATCTTGAGTGAGCAATCATGTTCTGCAGAGTTTTCATGATTTTAGGATGTCTGCGCCTCATTGTATTTCCAGCGATGCGAATGGCAAAAGAGAAGTACCAGATAGCAACAAGAGCAACAGCCATGAAACCGTAGTAACAAACCGTGATACCAAAGATATCATGAGCGGCCGGATTCAGAAAAGTTGCAGCAGCATGATGCAGGGAGGAGGATAACGGTAGCTAGACAAAGGGGAAGCGTTCTCACACCATTCCTCACGGTGGCCTGTATGAAGCAGGCCAGGGCAGGAAGAGCCGCTCTTTCCTATTGGCCGGGGCCTCCAGAGACCTCGCTACGCAGCCAACAAACTCTTAAGGTCAGAAGACAGGGTGTGCGACTTGCCCCCCCCCCCCGCTACTCGAGTGATTTCGTGCTTTCTGGTGAGACTCGAGCCATCGTTTCAGAACATGGTCCAGAGTCGTCCAGTTCTAGTTCATGCTTTTGAGGGCACGTGCGCCTGTGACGAGCAAGCAGTGCTGTAAGATTCAATTGCTGCAAGGCAACTTCTCACTCAAATGGCGCTGGGATGCATCAGCTTGCAAGCTCATCATCGACTTCTGGAAAGGCTTGCCTAGTGTCACCCCATTGTTGGCTGACAGGGCTTAACCAAACAGCGATCTCGAAGAACAACTTTCTTGCCAATACTCTACCCTGATCTGCTTGTGATGCGCAGACATGAAGTTGCTTGAATGGCGCTGGGACGAGCTGATTCCGAGCAAGGCCCGGTTGAGTCTTGAAGTTTTTGTTGTGAAATCTGCACCTTGAGATCGTCAGGATTTGCGCTTTCCCAGTCTGGTGCCAGACTGGTCTGGAACGGGACATGTTGGAGGCCACCTGCAGTCCACGGGTCACCACCCCGATAGCATCTTTCTGAAGATGCCCAGGCAGTTCATTTAGCTACTCCATGTTGAGCATCGTGGCCGAGAACTTCCAAAAAGCCGAACAGGCAGGCATGTGTGTGGAAGCGGGAGCGGGTACGGACCTGTCATGCCTATGTAGCTCTTGAACCTGCAGCTGACTTGCACACATGACATGTTAATGCATACTACGATGTACTACGGAGGTGTCTGCTTTCTGCCCCTGAAGCCCAGCCTGAGCCCAAACTAAATTCAAGCAGGCGGAGATGAAGCAGTCGCTTCAGTGTGTGGAATCTGGCGGAGGACACATGTGCTGGAGCAGTTCCTCAGCAGGCTTTTCCTGAATTCCTGCGGCTGTTCAGGAGATCCTGAAGCTTGACGGGAATCCTCCAAATGGCTACCTGCTTCTGCCTCCAAAGGGCCAAAGCCGTGCCAGTCTGGAGGTTAAGATTACTGGGCTTACAGTGAATGCCCAGCAGCTGGTAAGATTTCCGGTTCAGCTGGACATGCATTTTTGCAACTGCTGGGCCCATGCGACAGGCTGTGAGGGACTAGTCTTGGCCATCGACTTTCCACAGCTTTCGCAGCTGAGTTGGCGCTTAAGCTGATGGTTCAGACGGTTTGTGAATAAGCCTGCCATGACTCTTGTGTTTTCTAGTGCAGTGTGTGAGGGTTCCGTTAAATTTTCATGCAACCTGGATCGTCGATTGCCGGATGCAGATCGTGACGAGCAATCTCTAAGACGCTGAATTATGGTTTCGCATGTTGGAGCCTGCGGATATTGTTTCAAGCTTCTGCGCACAACTGCTCCGACTAGATCGAGAGAACACAAGTCTACATAGTAGCAGCCTTGCCACCAGCCATCTCGTGACTGATCTGTTCTGCATTTTAATGAATTTTCTGCTGTGCTTTGGCGCAGCACCTCTGTAGTCGGCTGACAGCATGAGGCCCAGCATGTACAGGTGATTGGTACAGCATGGATGGATGCCGTAGGTGCTCCCGAATGGAAGCTGAGAATCCTAAGGCTTCGTGATCAGGTTCTCGATCGTTGCTTTGCACAAAATGCCTGCCGAATCCAAAACGCTCAGCATAAGGTTACGAATCATGCAGCATCAGCCAAGGCTACCATTGATTCGTTGTACACGTTTATACACCAGATCCAGTATTCTTTCTCCTTTGAGCTTCGGCCTCATCCACTTCTTAAAGGATCGAACTTTCCATGAATTGGACTTGGGTTTCATGTGATGAGCTCTCTTGCAAGAGACTTCTGGGCTCACCTGCACAAGATCTGATGGCAGCACTTCGTTTGCAAGTCATGTGCCTGAATGGCATGAGTTACTCTCAATGCAGCAATCGTTGGAGGAGCGAACTTTTTTGCTGCATCAGGCAGCCGCAAGAGCTGTTTCAAGATTACATGCCAGCGCTGTACATACAAGTGCGATCACTTGGAATATAGTGGGTGAAACTTACAGTGTGCATACTCCAGCAATGTCTTCGCAGTGGATGAAGGACAGTGCTGCAGCTGAAGGGCATGAGGGCGGGGAAGCGGCTTTCGGGGCTCATCCCTCCAGCTCGAAAGCTTTACATTTTGCACCCTCCTCATGTCCTGTGTGAGGATCGTGATGCCGCAGCTCAGCGCCAGGCAACGCGGGTACAACCAAGACCTAACCAGTGTTGTGCAGGATCGCATAATGGGATATCATACTTCTTAAGAAGGCCTGCGAGGACCAGTTTTCTCTAGGGGTAGTTTGAGGTCTTGGCTCCACTGGGCGCATTTGCTGCGCACGCGACCTCAGTACCGCAAGCATCCGCAAGCTGCTTTTTCTTCAGGTTTCAGGCTTTCAAGAAGTCCAGTCCAGTGCAGATTTCTTATTGAGGCGCTATGGGCTGCCGCCTCGGCAGGCCATGGACTTCTACAAGGCAAAGATTCCAAAGTCAGCAAGAGTTCCCTTGTTCTGACGATTTTTCTAAGCAGTCTGACGTGTGATCGCTTGCCAGGATCAGCCTGGTTTGCACCTGGACGATATCCTGAAAGCTCGCTCCACTGCAGACCTGGAACAGAAGCAGGCACGTGGAAGCGCTTGCCCTAAACGAAGTTACATCATTGCTAGCGTGCGCCGCCACGACCTGGTCCGAGCGGGTCACCTGACAAGCTGATTAAGGGGGAACCGGGAGTAGTATAGGGGGGGAATAGTGGGGTGACCCATGAATAATGGTCGGGTTGATGGTCCCCGGGCAGGTGGTCCAAAGGAGGCAGAGCTGTGCCTGTGCGGCTTGGGGGTGGCCCCCGGGGGTGCCGTAGGGCACTCTAGAGCCGGTAGAAGAAGAAGTGGGTAGATTAGGTGCATCAAAACTACTAGTCGTAGGAACACAAGTCTTCGAACTAGTAGGAGCAGCAGCGGTGGAGAGGCGTTGTGTCTTGGTCGTGGTGGTGGTGGGGGCGGCGGCGGCGGCGGCAGTGGCAGCGTCAGCAGCGCAGGGGTCAGCCCCCTTGGAAAAAGCAGCGGCAAATGAATGAGGTGCTAGTTGGTGGTACGCGTATTGAGGTTGATAGATTGATATTGTTACAACGCTACTTCTCTACACAAATTGTCGCAAGATAGGGAGGTGTTTTGACTTGCCGCAGGCCTCAGAAATGGATCCGAAGTTTGTTGCACCACCAGTCGATGGCCCAGCTTGTCTTGCGAGCCCGCAGAAGCGCAGAGAAGGATCGCACTACCTAGGTCGGGACACACGGTGGGGCCCCAATCCAGGCCGTTTAGTGTGAAAGATTCCCCGGCTTCAGTCAAGGTTGTCTCGTCATCAGCTTCTAAAGTGACATGTTGGGCATGACTCCATGATCCATACCTGCATGCTTGCGGACTCTGAGCGCCTAGTGGACAGCAAGGGGATGTCAACGGCGGTCAGGTTGCTAGCTCCACTGTTGCGGGGTCGGTTGGAGATAACATTGCACAACTCTTGCCCGCTCGTGCCCTTCAGAACTTCAGGAGCTGTTGCCCGAGCTGCATCGGACTCAGCCTACTGTAAGTCGCTGATTCCTTTTGTGGCCTGGTGTCGCCTCGACTTGTGTGTTTCAGGTGCTCCCGGGCTTCATTCAAGCTGCCCTTCCTGATGCAGGAGTACACTCACGAGGCCTTCGGCAAACCCCCGCGCAGCTTCGGCTGTCAAATCGACTGGCCAGGTACTCTGTACATGAACGGAGTGCAAACAAATCCAGCAAAAGCCGTTCCTATGATCATATCACGCCCCAGTTTGACACGTAAGATTGCTGTGGTCGCACGGGCTGCGCGAATCTGACCTGCAACTGCATCAATGATGGCTTATGAGTGATCGCACTTTAATGCAGGTGGACGACGCGGAAGTCATGGAAGAGATGCAGGCCAGAGTGTCTCGGGAGCTGAGCTTCAGTCCAACAATCAGGACTGTGCGAGCATTCAGGCACCTATGGAGATTGATTTGGACGTGCCTATGGAGAGCGTCAGGTGTGGCTACCTTCCAGTTAGTTGTGGGACAGCGAGTGTAATGCAAGATGTCCTGAGATCAGATGCAATGAGTGATGGTATGGCAGGCGTGGGTCCGGCAAAAAGAAGAGCGCGGCACCTTCAAAGCCTGAACCAAGGACTTCAGTTGAAATTGCAAACTCACAGATCTTTGTTGCGAGGCTTCATTGTTCGCAGCCAACCGAGTTCTCAGGATAAGGTCATAAGGTCCCACACCCATTCCAAACAAAGGATACAGCCTGTTTCGCTTCCTGTTGTTCTGTCACCTGCGAATGCAGACAAATTTCATGAGGTCTCCCCTGAAAACAACTATCGGATTTCCTATTGGTGGTGTGTTCATCTCATCTGTCAGGAGCCGGAAGCCCCGTAAAGCTGCAAAAGCGGGCTTGGGGAAGGAGAATTGCCAGCAGGCTCGTCGTCGCCACATCCTTGACACTTCGGGGTCCAGCATGGCTCCACCATTCAGGTTCAGAAAGCAGGTGCTGTCAGCGAGCGCCATGTGCAGCCCCTGGATGAACCCGGGCTTTAACCCGCACATAGCAAAGTCATTGTCTGGGCAGGACCGCGCTATGCGCGGTGCTACGAGCTTGCCGCAACAGGCGGCTGCAGCAGCAGGTCGGTAGATGGTGAGATCGCCGCGGCTATGTAAACAGGTTGGAGAAGCGGCTGAGCAGATGCCATCTGAGCTGACAATGTTCATGCAGGAGGGCAGGGATGTGCAATTAACCTAACGCTCAAACCGTTGCCAGCTCTGCCAGGCCTTTGCTATGTCGAGAAGCCTTCGCGCCTGAGAACTGCTGAAGCTGCAGGCAGCTGGTGCCTGACAAGAGTGGATGCAATTCAATGCGTAGCTCTCTGCATGCTGGCGGGAGAGATTTGGCCTACATGGCTCCTCAGAAGGTCCTTCGTGACAGTCGAAGTGTGCGCGTGCTCCTGCAGTTGGCAATCCTCTCCCTGCTGCACCTGTGTTTTGACGGTGCCATAGTTTGCAAGCATTCTGGAATTCCAATCGTCCGCCTGTCTCAGCGAACCATCTCTAGAGAGCTGTGATATGCCTGTTCTGCTAGTGCATCGTGTTTGGAAAGTGGTTCCAAGACCTCTGGCGGCGCATGTACGAAAACAGGAGGCGACAAGCGCCTCTATCATAGAGTGGAGGGATGTTTGTCTCGCTGCGGGGCCGATGTGATGTTTCGGCAGCGTCGCGCGAGACCGCAAAGAGGGCAATGGATCTCGGGGACAGTTATCAGCAAGCCTGTATTGCGGGGAGCGAAAAAGAGGCTGCAAAGTCCAATGCTTGCAAATCCTTCAAGCTCATGCCGGCCACGATGCTACGCAGCGCTTCGCAGGTTGATTTCATTGAGATCCAGAGCACATTCCGCAAAGAGAAGGAAGCGCAACCTTCACTGTGGCCAGAAGCTTGGCAGAGGACAGGGGCGACAAAGCCCGCCCTGCTAATATTATAACTTGGACTTGTAAAATGGCTGAATTAACCGTATTTGCTTCCACCCAAATATGAACTGTCTGCTTGCTTTAAAGGGAACATGAATTCATAGACTTGGTGCAAGCGGAGCAATGGGGCTTAGCCTTTGCCTAAGCTCGTCAAATCCTCCCCCCTCTCCTCAACTAAGGGCCCCTGCTTTGTGAAAGTTCGTCGGAAATTGCCTTCGCAGCCGAGACTTTTGGCGCCCTTCATTTAAATTCGTCAAAGCCCTCCCGGCTTCGACAAACTTTGTATCTACATTTTGGGTGCCTGACGAATTCGTCAAAGGCTGCCCGTCGTTGCAGGGCATTGCAATTGGTTTTGCCTTCAGTATGTAGGGGGCGGGACTATCAAATTGCCAAGGGAATTTCTTTTCTAGAAGATCAAGGGGAATCCTCATCTTAGTGAACTTTCTTTTAGTAGCATTTGCATCAAAAGCTGGAAATCAATGAAGGTCGCCTGAAATTCTGATAGATGTCCTGTAGGTTCGTTTACGACTCTCATACAAACGACCTCCCAGTCCCAACTCATGTTTAATGTAATACTCAATACTTCCTTCAAATCTAATGCAGTCTTCATGTTTTGCATTTGGTCTTCGGCCTCCAGATTGGAAATCGCATTTTCAGGGGAGTTTAGAGCAGAGCCAAGCAGATCACTGACATACTCAAGGCGGCATCCAGCTCAACAAGAGGATGGAGCTTTGCTACATTGTCTCAAGGCCAATGTTCTCTGCCTGAAATCTGCGCTATTCAAAGCCAAGCCTACAGATTCCGCACCAGACAGCTGAGATAGCCCATGTCCACCCAGACGGTAGAAGCCCGTTGCAGCAGGAACACATGTCATAAGCTGAGGCCCGCAAAATATGCCTTAGCTCTGTGGGCAGCCCAACACTGTGGAGGTTCTCGACGTACTGAGCGACGCGCAGTCGCCCCATACCCCAGGCAAACCGCTTGACGAGAGGTCATATTGCATTAACACCACTTCTGCGTGATGTTGCTAGCAGTGTATCTTCTGGAGACATGTGCAACAAGCACTAATAAGGAACAGTCTGAGTTCGCTTTGATCCTTTCCGCTGCGCATGGCTCAGCTTCCGGAAGGTACTCCCGCTGCCTTGATTGCCCAACTGAAGCTACCGGTGTCCGAGAGTGAGTAGCGCCTGAGTAGAGGCAGGACCCTTCAACTACAAGCGACGGACGGCCGCCAAATGGGTAGTGTCCAAAATTAGGGCCGTTTGGGTGCCCATGTTTTTGTGAGAGCAGCCCACATGACACGGACTTGAATTCAGATACAATGAATAGTGGAAGAGCTTGCATCTATGGGGTCTTGACCGATAGCTTCAGTTGCAACGATGTCTTATCCAGACAAAAAGTTGCAGATGCGATCTGCAGCGAGACGAGCATTGCAAGGCACTGCAAATCATTAGGTTTTTGGAACGTGGTCCCTCGTTGCGCTGGTTGCCTGCCTTGCGGTGAGAATGCATTTTACTCAGGAAGGTTTCTCAGACGGACGTCCCTCAGCCATCGCACTTGTGTTCTCATCGCCGCTTGACGCTTGCCATCGAATCGTAATGGCCTGCAAGCCGAACATGCGGCAACATCTTTGATAGCCAGCACGTCCCAGGCTTCATAATTTTGCCTGAAGCAGGTGCGCAGCAGACATAATACGCTAAGTCAAGTTCAGGGGGGAAGTGTAAGTGAGAGACCGTGCATTGCAGCAATGCTTTTTTTTGCTCTTCGTTCCAAAGGCCTTCTTCATGATACATCCCCATACCAAGACAGCAAGCAGAACATTTTGTTGCGTTCCAAGAGGCAACTGTGGGAATGGACTTACCATGGCAGCCGCTAAATGATGAGGAGCAGCTGTGCCATGACCTACCGAGAGTGAAATTGAACGATTCAGCTCAGCCTCGTCTGTATCATCGCTGAAACTTTTCTGGCACATACCAAGGATGTAGCAAACGGATGCAAACGGTGAAACTCTTTAAACACGACCTCGGTTGGCATGAGGAGAAGGATGCCCCTCCTTGGATTCATCATTCACGGCTGCAAACGCAGCAGGACCGCTGCATGTGAGACGCGTGCTAACATGGGGAGCAAGATCTTGAGCGTAGAATCTCTTAGGAGCTTTGCGCCAAGCGCTTCCTCCGTGTCGCTTCCACACCGGTGACGCACGCAACACTTTCACTTTGGGCACTGGTGCTGTCCTGACAACTCGTGGAGATGGGCAAGCTTGTCAATCTGTACATGCTGGAGAGAGCTTCAGTTTTGCATAGGCCCTGTGGAGATCTGGTGGGATACTCAGACCGGATCCTCAGCTCCTCAAGAGGCTTAGCTGGCTTAGCTTATGTGGCACCAGGCATCCACCCAGCTCTGGCCTTGGCCCACGTCTTCTACCTGTCAGGGCCTGTTCTGTCATGTCTGGCGAGCTTTAAACAGCTTGATGTACGACAATGTCGCAGCGCGAGATGCCAGGATGAGTCGCAGTGTGCTCCCAAACCTGAGTGTTGAGCACCTGTCCGTGTTCATCCTGGCCCAGCCCCGAGTTGCTGCTTCCTGCCACAAGCGATAGATGAAGCAAAGCCGGGCTGAGCCCTATGTCCTACTTTGTTTTCTCAACAGGCTGAAGCAACTTGTTTTTCGAGGCCTTGAACATTGCTAATGCCTCGCACATGGCGGTCCTTCTCTTGTTTCAGGCTGGGCATTCGGCCTTGCTTACCTGAAAGTCTTCCTTCTGTCGCTGTCACCCCACGCTGAATATGCATTGATCATGCCAAGGGATCGCTTCTGCTATCTTCCCCGCTGTATGCCAGCCTTCTTCTGTCACCACCTCAGTCTCGATTTGCCTTTGACCTGCACCGGATGGTGTCTTCGCATTGCATGATGAGGAGCCGAGTATTGCTAGGACTCTTCACACAGGAGGCCGGGCTGGTGCTGCTATCCTACCTTCAGAGGGATCGAGGGTCATCGCATGGAGTAGACAAGCCAGGTCCACCTTCACGTTCTTCTAAGCTCAGCAGTCGCCATGCTGGGTTTTAGCCAGGCCGGCTGTGGCATCACCTGTTTGCTGAACGTCTGAAGCTACATTCTTGGATCGCCTCAAAGCTTCGCACGCATCGACACGATCTGAACGTAGCGTTGACCAAAAGAGGCCAGCCTGCAGCAGGTTTCAAACCCCCTCGCAATTTCCGCCTGCCTGCTCCTGGAGCTCACGGTCGGGGAACACAGGGCCGCCATGCGGCAGCGATGTCATTTTGACCCAGACTTGCACTGCCTGCAAATGGCTCAGGCTGTTGTCATCCTTTCAGGCGGACCTTGCAGCTACGAAGAGGCAGAAGACCATTTGCCAGCAATGCTTTGAATAATCGTATTGCTGTGTGGTCATGTGCTAAATTGTGCAAAGTGCACAGAAGCGATCTGGGAAAAACGAGCACCGATCGCAGGCCATTGTCCATCTGGCACAGTGCCGGCTGCAGCATCAACTCACCCGATCACAGGCCTCTTCAAGACATGCGCACTTCAGCATTCTGCCAGGTAGCTCTTAGGATTTGAGAGTTGGTGTGTTTGCCGCCGCTACCCGCATGGCCACGTATGGCCACGTATGATGTCGTATGTCGTGCTGAACTCTGAGTCAAGGCGGCGCAGCGTCTGGATGTGGCCCGGGAGGAGCTGAGCGGCTTCGGGCTCAGCTCGTGGTGCTAAAAGCACAGAGATTTCTACCTGAAGCTTTTGCTTTTCATTTCTTGCATGGCACTGAGCCGTGCTCTACCATAATCGCCTTTGATGTTTGAATTGGGCTGAGGCCAGCTGCTGGCTATTGCCACGGAGGGAATTGCCGAGCTTACGGACCCTCGGCAGCTGAGTCAGGATAGCTAGCGTCGTCTTCATCTCGATGACTGTGGTGCTCTAGGCAGTATCAGTACCGGCTGAAACGGATGCAAACGGTTACTAGTACAAGCTTCGGAGAGGCGAACGCTTCCTGCAGTTGTGAGCCCAGTTTGACAGCCTAGAGGCCTCTGTGCAACATGCTTCAGATCCCGTGCTGAACATGCTCAAGGACGGGCTTTGCCTGGGCTGGGCCGGGGCACTGCAAACTGAGAATGACAAAAGGTTCACCATGAGGCTAACGTAGAGATTTCTGGCTTAAGACTCAGTCCATTTCGTCGAACATGTGGATACTGAATCATAGGAGGCCTGTGGCAGCTCCATGTGACTTGCGTTGTGGGATACACGCATGCTACCCTATTCGCGAGTCCTCCTGCGCGACGGGGACCAAGTCAGCTTCGGAGGCCTTGTTCTCTCATGCTCAAACCAATTGCGTCATGTCTTATCGTGTGACATTTGCACAGAGAATGGTTTCAGCAGGGTCTTACCTCGGACCTGTGCAGGCCGAGCGAATTGGGCGCATCGGTGAGGCCTCACGCGAAGAACATCAGATGACATCCACGAGTTCTCTTTGGAAGATCTTTAAAAAGCAGTTTCGTGGTTCGCTTGAGGCCTGAGTTTTGCTTTGGAGGCGCTGCAGACCGAAGTTGCAGATCTTCTTCGCTTCAAGACGTCCACTACCTGGGAGAGGACGCTTTCAGTACATGGTCGTGCTTGTGGTTGAAGCGGCTGCATCGGGTGGCGAGGAGTAATCACTTGGCCTGATCATCTGCTGCAACATGCGCGTTTCTCCTGTTTCCTAGTCCCAAGTCTGTGTGACTGTACAGCTTGAGCTGTTGATGCCGCATACGTTCAACTCTTGGGGTTGCAATTTGCATATGCTGCCCACAGCGCAGGCTTCAGGAGCATGCCAAGTCACGACTGCAACAGCTTCAGCGCGATGCGCAGGCTCAGCAGGCCTGGTTGCAATTGCTAGGCAGAAGGACTGGCTTGAGGCGGTGGTGCCGCATTTCGATTGGGGGATGCTTTGATCGTGCTCCAGCATACACGAAGCTGCCTTGACATAACTGAAGTGACAGGCAGCTTCTGATGCGATGCTGCGCTACGTCCATCAAGGCATCGGACGGCACTGGCCTCAACACCACCACGACATGCTCTGATGCAAGGGAAGATCCAGCACGATTTCTTTGGAAGCCTTCAGTGCGGCTGGTAGGTCATTGGCAGAGATTCACAGACTGGAGATGGAGGCACGTCGTGAACGCTTCCGTGCTTCCGGCAGCTGGTATTACGTAGTCTCTCCCATGCAGCCACTGGTCCTTGTGCATCTTTGTTGGCATGTCGCATGTTCCAGGCTGAAACTTCCATGGCCCAGATCGTGCAGAGTGAGGCATTGCCTTCATTGGCTGGTGAATGAGGTACGAGTCGGGCGACAAGCTTAAGATATCTTAGGGTGATAGGGCAGTGCTGATGCTGAGATGAACTCTGCGATGGCCGTGGTATTTCATTTGAACCTTTCGCTTTGAGCAAGAACTCCATGCCTCCTGCTGGTGAGCGTTCCACTTCCGAGTTCGATCAGGTGAATCGAGCTATGGAGATTGCAGACGCTCGTATGGACCTCGTTCGCCAATCTGCACAGGCTGAAAAGAGTGCCTGACTGCCCTTAACTGATCCGATCATCTGTGGGTTTGAGAGCTCAAAAATGAAGGCCATGGAGCGCCGTGTCTCCGATACGGTGGAGGTTGGGGTGTCAGAGGCTATGCTATGACACATCTCACAGCTGTTGCCAGGTGCTCCTGTCTCTGCTGAAGTACTTTCGATCGAAAGGTAGCTACGGAGAGCATGTGGTACTGTTCTCAGAGATCTTCAGTGCATCGAAATGCAGGCTAACGGGGGGCAAGTACATGTCCTCTGTGCCCAGGCCACAGCGCGAGCACGGCCACGGCACAGCTCTTCAGAGGCCTGGGATTGCACTCCTTGCGGTGCTACACATGCATCGGCCCTGGCAAGAGAAAAATCAGCAGCCTGCATGATGTGAACTTTTCCTCATTGAAGTCTTGCTGCAGGACACTTTGCGGCCTCTTCCCGTGATCTGCGAAGTCGGCAAGGCTTGAGGGACTTCACCTACCAGTGCGAAACCAGAGGTCTCGCAGATTCTCGCAGCTGTAGAGCGCACACAGCAAGTTTGGGGTGCACTGACATGACGTCTCAGGACCGGCTACTGTAAGCAACATCCTGTCAGGCGAAGACCGCTCAGCCACAGATTGCGGAAGAATCGGAGGAGGGAAGCTGCGCAGCCCTTGTCTTGCTTTGCAGGGACCGCATCCGCAGAACTTAGAGCTCGCTTAGGTTTGCCCAGTCCTACAGAACCATGGCTTGCGGAGGCCAAAAAGTAAAGCTCGACATTTTCTGCTTCAAATGCAGAACCAAGCTCGTCTGAGACCTGTCAGGAGACACGTCCGTTGCTGAATGGACGGCGCTTGCTCATTCCTCGGCGCCGAGTGCCAGAGGCAGGTCTCCGCACCGTAGACTCAGCTCTCCCCATGTTTCGCTCTGCAAGCTGGCCGTGGAGTTTTGAACCCTCGGCAACTGTGGGATTCGCCAAGTCATGCCCTGTGCAGCTGCGAAAACCGCGGGTGGCAACGTCAGAAACCTGCGCAAGCAGATATGTTAAATATGTGTGAGGCGTCTGGGTGTCCACTACTGTTTGCGCAACCTGGTCACCTAGTCCTGGAAAGGCCTAAGCGCAGAAGGCAATGGCCCAACTTGCAGCATGGAAGCAAACACAACGTTTTACATCAGAGCGAGCTAGCTTCATGACCCGTGATCCATACGTTCGGTGCTGCGCAAGGAATGCTGTGGTCTGAGGATTGCGCACATGCATGTGGGCAACCATGTGTTGTGCCTCATCCCTTCGCCGCTACGCTTGTGCAGGACGAGAAAGATGACGTGGCAAGTGCGACCGGCGAGAGCAGTGCGCTGAGTACCACCCTTTACATATGCATGCGAGATGCGTGCACAGAATGTGTTAGCAAGGCTCGAGCAGCGCTTCCAGCAGCAAAGAAGAACACGAAAAGGAGGCATTTGCTTTTAGCCTGGAGCAGTGCAGTGGCGTCCTTTTTTTTTTTTTTTTTTTT